CAACCGGTGCTGCTTACTTGTTATGCAATGGTCACACAAAGGAAGTGTTACCTTTGTTAAGCCTGGAAGTAGGTTTTGTTCCACAAGGACTTTCATTCCTTGTTCTGACATGTGTCCAAGTTTCTGATGCCATAACATTACAAAATCTGAACTACATGAGGCAATAGAGGCTTCTGCTTCTAGGAATGTCTCTCCCTTCAGTATGTACAAGTTTGCAGCTATCTTTTCACCTTTCAGCACCACAAGCGCTCCACGGAACACCTTCATGATTCCTTTCCGTGTTTTAATCTTGCTTGCATTATTATCCAACAATCCGTAGGATAATAAATTTTTCTTTAGGCCTTTCACGTGCCGCACATCTCGAACAAATTTAATTGTTCCATCATACATCTTCAATTTGATGGTTCCCACGCCAATGATCTCTAAGGCATGATCATTGTAACTATACACAGATCCTCCTGAGACAGGTTCATATTGATCGAACCATTCTCTTCTTGAGGTCATGTGATATGTTGCTCCTGAATCAATGAGCCATATATCTGCAAATCTTTTTCTTCCTTCCACGGTGGTTGAGGCTTCACAGCATAGAGCATCTCCATCATCTGAAGTGTTTGCGGTATTACCTTGTGGATTGGAGTTTTTATTTAGACTCCAACAATCCTTCTTCAAGTGACCCTTCTTTCCACAGTGGTAGCACTTTAAATTCTTCTTGCTCCTCGACTTCGATCTACCATGTTTATGACTGCTGCTTTGGCCACGTTCTGTTGATCTCCCTCTCATCATTGTCAACGCTTCTGCTTGTTGCATATTTACTTGTCTGTCTTCTTTGTTCTTGCGTCGATTTTCTTCTTGTAGGACAGCAGCTGCAACGTCATCGAAGACTAGACTGGTGACATTACTGTTTGTCAAGTTGATGATGAGTTGATCATACGAATCCGATAGACTTTGAAGTAGAAGTTCAACACGTTCTTGTTCTCCTATTTTACAACTTAAGGATGTAAGTTGAGAAAATAAGGTGTTCAGTGTATTTAAGTGCTCCGTCACTGAAGTAGATTCTGGCATACGGAGAGTGTACAATTTCCTCTTAAGGAAAATTTTATTGTGCAACGATGTGGCCTCGTACAATTTGGTGAGATGATCTCATATCTCCTTAGCTGTCTTTTTCTCCTCGATGCTTGACAATACTTCATCTACTAATGCTAGATGAAAGTTTGCCATAGCATTCCCATCCATCTCGTTCCATTTGATGTCATCTGCGAAATCCATCGACCTTTCATTGATAGCCGCTAGACACCCGTCTTTCCTTAGGATGGCCTTTATCTTCAATTTCTACAATGAGAAATTTCTCCCATTGAACTTTTCAATGTCAAATTTTGTTGCCATAGCTTCTATTATTGATAGCTTCCACTATTTCACTATCGTGAATAGTTCTCTAGAACCTCAAAGAATGGGTAATACCTTCTTATTTTCTTATGTTGGAGGATCCACCTTTTTGTGACAACCACAAAGACAATAAGCAGATATTACACACTCAAATCTGGCTCGGATACCAATTGTTGCGGAAGACGGCTATCGGATAGAGCAAAATCGCAACTGATAATTTGAGAAAATAAAAATGAAGATAAAAGAGACACAAAAATTTACGTGGAAAACCCCTAAAAAATTTAGGGTAAAAACCACGGGCAACGGTAGAAGAATTTCACTATGAGAAAATAGGAATTACAACCTCTCTTGATCTACCAAGGAGAAAACAATGATAATTCTCTCTTGATAAAAAGGAGAAAACAACTCTCAAGAAACTCTCTAAATTCTCTCTAGTATTGGAAGAAAGCTAGAATGCTTTGGGATAATTTTGAAGCTAAATGAGCTAGGGTATTTATAGTTGAAACATAAGGACTAATTTATAAATACCCTAAAGTTTAGTGACTAAATTAAATTATCCCATTTAATATTTAAACAAAAATTTCCATCCCTTTTTGACTAAAATATGCCGGGTGGATTATTTTAATTCACCTTTCGGTGGATTTGCTTATTTTTCAACATTACTCTCTTGATTCTTCTTCTTTGGAATATATGGAACAGGAGAAACAAATGGCTGCATGAAAAAGAATTTCTTACTGACCAGGATATCATCAACAACACATGGATGCTTGCTTCTGATTTTGCGGAGGCAACTGGTAGTTTGCGCCAGACGATTTCCACACTTCATACCACTCCAAGACGTAAATGGAATCGACCGATGGTTGGCCGCATAAAGAATAATGTTGATGGAGCTTTTGTTGAGAGCACCTGAGTCGCGACTATCAAAGTTTTGGCTCGTGATCACAATGACATGGTGGTCGGGGATTTCTCTTGCAAAATTGAAGGAACTCAAACACCAGAATCGCAAAAACGATGGCGTTCACATATGGCTTAAGTGTAGCAATCGAGAATGAGTGGTGACAGACAATAGTGGAAATAGATGCCATCACTATCGTTAATCACTTAACCAATTCTAAAGAAGACATTTCAGACGTCGTTGGATTATTGCTCAATGAGGCTCGCAAATCACTCGCGAATAATCCAAATCTTTCAAGTATTTTATGTGAACCGTGAGGCTAATAGGGTAGCACACTCCTTGGCTCAATGGGTGTTGTCGAAAGTTAATCCATTTTGGTTCTACTTTGATGAACAAGATTATATTAAAAACGATGTTCTTCTTGAAGCTATTGATATTTAAATGAATCGACTTTACTTTAAAAAAAACTAAATTCAATCCAGAACAATAGTTAGTGTCAAATTAATGTTATTTTGATTTTATGTTACGCGATGTGTTAATTGTTCATATGTATTTGTACTTTAATAAACTAATAAAATTTTTAAAAAATAATTAGAAGATATTCATGTGTTTTATTATATATTACATTATGAAATAGGAAGTCTAAATGTTCAAATGAAATGAAAATGGTTAAATATCCCTTCCTTTACGAAATTGTTTTGTCAGTTACTATTAGATCGTTTCTTACATTTCCTATTACTTGCACTTTTTTTTGCCTTTTGTTTCAACTCTTCTTTTAAAGAAACCAAACCAAGTTTTTATAATGGGCAAACAAAGTCCCATGTGCTTCAGCCTAACTCCACTCCATTCGTTAAAGGATGGTTAACTGGTTTAAAATATCGAAATTTGAACGATAGTATGAACTAATTAAGTTTCGGGATTAAATCATATTTATTGATTTGGGGTATGTTTTCCAATTTGATCGTATGATAAGGAGGGATAGAGCGAGAGTGAGATGTGATCTTGCCCCTCCCAAAATTTTTAGATTAATAGCATTTTAGGTTCTTATCGGTTTAAATTTTAATAAAATTAGACTTTTGTACCCCTAAATTTTTAGGTTAAATATATAAAAGTCTTTATTATTTTAAAATTAAGTAGTTTACCCCTCCTAATATTTGGTTCTGGCTCTATCCCTGATGGTAAAGGGTTTTACAAATCACTAGGGATGATAAGGGTTTTACAAATCACTTACTTATATTGGGAAGAAAGAAACCAAAATGACTTTTTGTGTCACTATTTTCATTTTAGCTTAGGGTTTAACACTTGAAAGAATCCCATCTTGTATTCACCTTTGCACATCCATCTAACATGTGCATTGCCTGTATACCTACCTACGACATGCATCTTTATGACGTAATAATTTGGTGAAATTTATATAAAAATAAAATACGTATATATATATTTTTAAAAATATAAAGAAATCAGAAAAATATATAAGAAAAGTTTAGGTTAAAAAAAATAAGTTGGAGTTTGAATTAGAGAATATTGTGCCAAAAGTTTAGGTTGGACTTTGAATAAGAATAACAACATTTATAAAAGCTATGTAATAACAATAGATTTAATTGTCAATTATGAAATTGAAATTGATTTTACATTGGAGTTTGAATTAAATGATATTGTGTTAAAATAAAAAAAAATTAAATATCTTTCACAACTTTTTGAAGTTTAATATTTTTATATATTATTTTTAAATATGTATATACATTTTTATTTTTATATAATTTTTCATAACTTGAATCGGATTGACATATTATGTAAATATTAGGAGATTAATTTATTTTTATATAATATGTTATATACATTTTTTATATAATTTTTCATAACTTGAATCGGATTGACGTAATATGTAAAAAAAAAGAGTGACGTTAGAGAGTGGAGTTTTGTATAAAAACATTATCTCCAAAAATGGAATGAATTAATGAATTGAAGTTGGTGAAGGAGCTTACCCGAATCAACAAATTTCATATTCAACCATATTAGCTGAGTTAAGTAATCAAACTATGCTTGGGTTGTTGCCAGGTTGCCTGACTTATACTTAGCCAAGTAATCATAGCCAATGGTAGATTCATTCTCTCTGGATACTTATTGGTTATGTCCACCTTAAAATTTTATTTGTGTTTACTCCATACAAAAAAATTATGTTACTAATATACGTGTGATCATTCTAAAAAATATTTGTGGATCCCTCACTAACCATATCCGATTATCAGTGCCACATAAATAATTTAGTCTGAATATATGATCAAAGGAAAGACTTAAAAATAGTATGAGGATATATTGTGTAATTAACCCAAAAGGAAAACATGCGAGTGTAGTTCAACTAAGGTTTCGGACAGCTGTACACCAAAACTGGAACTCTATTTGTAGAAACTTCACTTTGACACCCGACTTATAGTCGTCGCCAAATATTCCAAGGGAAATATTCCTGTACGGGACAGCCCACAATTCCGTTTAAACTTGTCATAGTTCATACTCGCCCGCAAAGCAAAAGCACTAACAAAGATACACAAACATTTAGCTCACCAAATCAAACCAACTGGGCCAAAGCATGCAAGCCAAGAAACACATGCTTTATAACACACTAAATCCCATGACATCCTTGTTTCATTTTTCCTGTCATCCAAAATACATGATGATCAAATCTAACTTCCTCCGCCCACGGCGCTAATCTCGTCGGAAACTTTGTTTACCGGCCGATGTTTTTCTTACAAGACCTTCAGATTTTGGAGGTTATCCTTGCACTTCTTGTCTTCGTTGCTATACATTCCATGAGGCAGAAACGGCGTTATGGTGTCCCTGTGTGGCCATTTCTAGGCATGCTGCCGTCGTTGGTGGCCGGTCTCCAGTCCAACCTTTACGAGTGGATTACCGATGTGCTTTGCCGGCAGAACGGGACTTTCATGTTTAGAGGTCCGTGGTTCAGCAGCCTTAATTGCGCGGTGACCGCGGATCCTAGGAACCTGGAGCATCTTCTCAAGACCAAGTTCTCTGTTTATCCCAAAGGACCTGAAGACACTAGTTTTTTTTACATTTGGTTTTATTATTATATTTATTATTTTTATTATTATTTTTATTATTATTAGTTTTGTTATTAATATTATTATTATTAATATTATTATTTTATTACAGATACAACTCAAGGCCCAATTCTGGCCCGATTACAACCAGGCCCGACCAAATGGCCCAGCTAAACCCTAAACCCAATTTAGGGTTTCTATCATCACCAGCAGCAGTCAGCTTCTCATGACCGTTGGATCTGATTTTGATCCAACGGTCCACAGAAAGGTTCCAGATGAAACCCTAGGGTATCATTACCCTAGGGCCACGCGGCGCCGCCTCAGTTTCCAATCACCGCTGCCGACACTCTTTCCCACCAGCTGTTGCCACCACGTCTACCGAAGGCTCCAGAAGGCCGGCCGTAGCCGCACACGTCTTTCTCAACGGTGAGTCACCACTGGGAGTCCGGTGACTCACTGAACTTTACCCTTCGGACCGGTCCGAAACGAACACCGGTGATGGCTATAAAGCCATCACCCAACCTGCAAAGAAAAAAGGAGAGACCGAGAGAGACCGAGAGAGAACAACGAAGAGAGAACAACAGAGCCAGAGAGACAAAAACCGAAAGCAAAGATACCAAAAAAGAGACCAACTCACAATAACCAGCAACCAAAAATAAAAGAGAAGGGAGGAGAAAAGCTTACCGAGGAAGCTACGACCACCGGACCTCTTCAAACGTCACCAAAACCTTCGAAAACCGAAGGTATTTTTCTTAGATTCGCTCCGATCGGGAGCCGTTTAGAAGAAAAAACCATCGGAACCGTCATTAGGAAGGTTCGATCTATATTTTAGTATAAAAAATTTTTTCCGGCCACCGAAGGCGGCGGCCGGCAGTGGAAAAACGCCGACGGCCGGCTGCCGGCCGGCTAGCTTCTCTCTGTTTTAGAGAGAAGCGAGAGAAAATTCTCTCTCTCAGAGAAGAGAGAGAGAGGAAAAAAAACGAGAAATGAAGCTGGCCCTTCGGGCCAGCCGGGTTTGGCTTTAAATAGCCCTTCCCGAACGACGTCGTTTCGGGGAGGGCTATTTGTGTAATTTTTAAATTGTTAAATCCTGTCCGCCATCCCTTGAATTTATAAACTTTACATTTTAGTCACTAAATCGAATTTATAATCCTTTTAATTCGGTTCTTTAATTTTAATTTTATTTATTTTAGTCCTTTGTATTAAAATAATATATTTAGGGTAAATAACAGATTTAATCCCTTAATTTTAATAATTAATATTTTAATCCCGAGTTTATATTTTTAATTTATTTTAATATGATATTCTAATTTTAGATAAGTTTTATTTTAGTCACTAAATTAATAAAATAAGAAAATAGCATGTTTAATCCCTATAATTTTGATTAATTATGAATTAGGTTTTTAATTTTAATTTTACTATAATTTAGTCATTAATTTTAAATGTTTTCATTTATTTTACCGTTTTTAAATATATCTCTAATTGTATTTTTATTGTTTTAATTGTTTATATATATTTAAATATTTTTATTATTATTATGTAGTCATAAATATATATAATAAATAATAATTTATATTTTTTTTAATAAATTATTTTAATATTTTTCAATATCGAAGAAAAGGGCAGTCTTAATACAACTGGATGTCCTATTCTGGTATTTTAAAAATAAATGCTATAAAAATTATTATTTAATTTTATTTAAATTAATATTTATTAATATCAAAGAAAAGAACTGTCTTAAGGCACCTAGAAGTCTTTTTCTGATATTTTTAAATAAATAAATATTTTATATAATTTTGAAATAATAGGATTATAAATTAAATATATTTTAAATTTTTAAATTTTTAATAATAGAGACAATTTATAATTAAAAAGTACCAATTCTGGGCGTTGTAGGGGTGCTAATCCTTCCCTAAACGTAACCGACCACGAATCCCTTTTTATTATTAAAAAGAACGAATTTTTGGTTATAAACGCAGATCAGTTCATTTTTTTTAATTGATGTTTTCTTAAAACTCTTTTTTTTTTTAAAAAAATAATAATTTTTAGGTATTCGACCTACCTGACCCAAAAGGCCGATGACGACTCCCAAATTATTTTCAAAATTATTTATTCACATCAATTTTCCCGCCAAATAAATTTTTCGTGCCCGGACGAAAGCCGGTTACGACAGCTTGGCGACTCCGCTGGGGACTGGTCAAACTTTAAAATCAATTATAAATTGTCTCTATTAATTAAAAATTAAAAGTTCATATATTTAATTTTTAATTCTTTTTTTTTCAAAATTTTTTATATTTACTTATTATTTTCATAATATTTATATGTTTCATTTTACTTGTAAGTATTTTATTTCGTTATTTATTTTTCTGTCAAAGGTTTGAACATTTCTCCTCACACACAACACTTGCATTGCATAACATAAAGCTCTATAATTGAGTTTGTCCCTTTTAAGTGGGAGTGAAAGCAACGTCTTCGTGAGAATTTATTCTCCGTGTCAGACCTAGCAAGTAACTTTCGGGGTTCATATGCTCTATGTCTTCGTGAGAATTTATTCTTCGTGTCAGGCATAGAGAAATGTATCCCCTCGAATTGAACTCGATCCATTTTAGTTTGTAATGGACTAGGATTGAGGGTTAGCAGCCCAAGGGGGCAATAACAAGGACAATTCGGGTACCTTTATTCTTAGATCTGAAATCCTGCATATAATAAACCCTAGAAACTCTTCCAATCCGAAGTCATGCCGAAATCTTGTCCAAAATAGGTGTACACACAGGAGAAATGAATTCTAACTTTCCTGTTAATTTATTTATTTTATTGATTAAATTACATGTATATTTAAATTATTTAAATTATGAAAAAGCATGTTTAAATAAAAATATTTAGGTAAATGTTATTATTAAATTTCTTTATTATGTAAACTAATTCATTTCTTTTTGTGTGTTCTTTATTTCTTTTGTTTGCATAGCATCATACAGGATAAAAGGCATTGATCCTCGTGTTAATTGTCTCATTGGAAAGCCTTCATACATGGATAAAAAGTGTTCAAATCAAATAATTCTAAACTCAGAAGTAAGACAGTGGGCTGAGGACTTACAAAGACAAGAAGGAGACAGTCTGCAGGATGATTATGTATCTGACTTGGCCAGTTATGCTCCAGTTTCGCTAAAAAGAAATGATATGCAAGACTTGCGAAGTATTTGGGAAAGTTGGGATTCAAACAAAAAATTGCAGTTTTATCAGACTTACAGAGACATCCCATATTTGCTCTATATCGAAGTTGATGATGAATTACTCAGAGCCCTAATTCAATTCTTGAATCCAAGGTACCATTGCTTCACTCTCAATAAAGAGGACTTGGTCCCTACTATTGAAGAGTACACAACTTTGTTACATATCGAAGGGGCTTTGGAGAATCGAATCTATTCAAAGTCAATTAAAATTCAACCCTTTCGAGTTAAATTAGCAAAGATTGCCGGTGTACGAGAAGAATGGGTGGCATCTCGTACAAAACAAAAAGGCAAAAGCGAAGGCATTGCTTGGACCAACATTAAAGAACTTATTCAGAGCCATCCAGATATTAAAGTACGATTCGATTTATTTGCTCTGGGTATGTATGGTATGGTCATCTTCCCAAAAGTATTGGGATATGTTGAAGCTGCAGTGGTAGATTTGTTTGAACAGCTACCGAAAAAGATTAATCCTGCTTCTGCAATTCTAGCAGAGACCTTCAGATCATTAAATGCTTGTAGAAAGCTAGGAGGTGGACGATTCTCAGGGTGTACCCAGTTGTTATATGTTTGGGTCCGTAGTCATTTCTGGAGGACAGAAAAGATTTCATGCCGACGCTTTAATACGAATTACTCACCATTAAAAGAATTTCTGGAGCAGGAATGGCCGAAAGAAAGTAAGAAAGATATGTGGATTAATGCCTTTCGAAATCTGCAAAGCAATGACATTGTTTGGCGAGCCCCGTGGCAAATCCAAAGGGAATTCTTTTACAAATGTGGAGATTACAATTGGATAATGCTACTCGGATTATGGGGAGGAATTGGATACGCACCACTTCTGGTCATAAGGCAGTATGAAGGTCGTCAATTTGTACCTGTCACCGCTGGATTACATTCATCTGAGTTCGCATTCCACAGCAAAAATTATAAAAGAAATATCATGGAGGCCGTTACAGCTTGGAAAACAACTTTTTGTATCCGAGCTAAAGCAGCAAAAGAAATGCTAACTCCTGATTATGAAGAATGGAGATATGTCAGGAAAAATGAAAATATTCCTCTACCAGATCAAAATGAGGATATCTCTATGGAAGATCGCATTAAGGTGGTTCCATCAGAGATTGAAATCCTGAGAGCTGAGTTTGAAGCAGAAAAAGAAGGCTGGTCAAGAGAGTTAGAGAAAATGAGACGAGATAAAGCTATGTTGGGTGTTGATATTGACTTTCATTCATCACAATGTGCAATGTTGAGAGAAAACAAAGAAAAAATTGATGGTGAATTTAGAACATTAAAGAAAAATTACCAAGAGTTATATAAATCCCGGAAAGCATCAGGACCAAGCCAATCAATGGTACAGATGACCAGAGAGTTGAACATCGAGAAAAGTCGAGTTGAAGATCTGAAAGGAAAAAATAGCCGTCTACTCAAAAGCCTTGAGAAAGGAAAGCAAAAAATGGAAGATTTTGAGGTCGACAGAAGAGAGCGAATTATAAAACACAAGGCTGAACACCGCGAGATCATGAATGAAATGCAAAGAGAAAGGGATCGAGCCAAAGATTTAGAAGAAATGAAGAATGACATCTTTGATAAATTTGAAGGTGAGAAAAATATCATGTTCAAGGGATTTGAATCTGAAATGAACCAGCTGATTGCTGAACTTGAAGTCAGGGGCCAAAAGATTGAAGAGTTCAATATTGAAAAAGAAAAATGGGAGTTGGAAAGAAAGAATTTCAACACCAAAATTGAGGTAGAGCAAGAAGTG